ATCAACTATTACATTTTGTACATTCGGGACGTGTTTTGGACTAGAAATTATTTATCGCGCTAGAATCTAGAATGGTATCTAGAGATTGGGTGCAAGTCGAAAATTTTATTACTGCTTAAAAACTCATAAATTCTTGAATACTTTGGAATCGTCTTTGATGATTGAACCGTTTTACGAAAAAATTATTTATTACTAACTAACAATGTAACCAGACTAACGATGTCCCATGCAGTACGAAAGAGACTTTTGCTCCTATCAACAACCTGAGATGTGTCTTCAGCCCTAATACTTAATAAGGATCTCAATAAAATATGTGAAGCAATGTTGATTCGCCAGGGTTGGCCCTATAGTGGAGAAAATGTGTCTTGAGCAGAGAAAATCCGTTTTAATAAAATAGAGAAAATCCGTTTTAATAAAATAGATAAAATCCGATAAACGGATCCGCACGAATCCGTTTATCAGGTATGAGTTCTGAAATCATTGTTTATTAAATATTTATTATTTTCGTATGCTTTTGTTAGAATATGCCTCTAGAATAATAGAGTTCTTTAAAATAAAATTGTGAAGAAGTAAAGTAAAAATATTTAATAAAGTAAGAAAGCACGATGAAGAATTCGCCCGAGGGCTGCGGACCACCAGCGTGTAACGCTTACACGTTTCAAGACTTGAGATTATCACGCCGTTTTTAGCTCATAAAAGTAAGACTTAATGTAAGAAAGAAGTTTGTTTAGGTTACAAGATAGCCCTCGAATGGGCCTCAGAACACCACTAAAGCATTGTAAGTGCAAGGTTTTCCCTCGTGGGACAATATGGCAACACTCACTCAATAGGCTTTTGTTTCCAAGCGTGAGGGAAGATGTGGGATCTGCCTCTTGGGTTTCCCTCATATTCAGCGAAGTTTCCTGAGAAATCTAGCGGTTATTTCTTTATATTTTGAGGTAAGTATTTTAGGCCTTGTTGTTATGAGCAAATGTTTGCCTATATTTTTTATTGAAACATAATCTTTAGCCTCGCATGTAAATATTACAATTATAATTTTTCTCTTTGTCGATACAACAATTATTTTGCTGAAATTCCGCTGAATGATACATTTCTAGATCTAATATTTATTTTTTACAATAAATGCACTAAAGCGAAGAGAGTAAGACTTCATTTCCTTTTTTATTCTTGCTCATATATGTTAGCCATTTTATTGTTATAACACTAAATATGCTAATTAAACTACCGTACGTAACTTAATCACTACTTCTTATCCAGTAATTTGGACGTGTAGAAAGGGAACTAGAGAGGGAAGATAATAAATTTAATCAGGAAAATAAAAGCTGGTGAACTCACGAAAAAAATAAAAAGTATTTAAAAGGTGAACTACAGACGTTTATTTTAAGGTAGAAATTTTTGAAAAAGACTGACGCCACATAATCAGAAAAAATATAAATCAATTTACTCATTAAATCGTGCAGGAATAATTTTTAACAGAAAATAATTTCCCTTATGCTAACAATTATTCATACTTAATTCTCTATTCTTTAGCTCATCGATCAAGACGACCGAGGGTAGGCCATAATTGCAGCGTCATTGTACCCTCTAATTGCTTCCGCTCTTCCCTCTCATCACCGTGCCATCCCGGACATTCCCAGTCCCAATTCCCAGTCCCCACTCCCAGCCATCATTCCCATTCCATGACACGAAGCGTTTCCGACACCTGTCACCTCGCGTGGCCGGCCTCGCCCAAATAGTTACTAATAAACTTCTTATTTGCAGTAATATTGGGCCGATTATTATACTTTTTTATTGAAATTTGTAGTGTTTTAATTCGGCTATCATTAATCAGTAAAGTAAATCAGTAGAAATCATCAGTATCAGTAAAAATCAGTAAAGTAATATTATTTCAGTATTGTAGCTTATAATAACCCAGCTCACTTAGATGTGATGACCAGGTGAACAGGATCGGGTTAGCATTCCTGAAATTCCTGTGTCGAGAATCCTGCAGGATTCCCACCTGGCGAGCAGGTGTCGATGCGTGCTGCTATTTGGAGGACTGAAATTGTTATATTTTTTATTGATCTTTTGCTCATAAAAAGCGTGGCCTTAATTTTGCGGACAATTTTGTTAATTCTGTAAAAATTTCAGGGATTGAGAACTTATTTAGAACGAATCGATATTGTTGTGTCGCTGAAGTTTAGTGTCGACTAACTAAATAAAGATAAAAATTTAGAAAAAATATTAATTCAATAGAACAAAAAAAGGTAAATTCTACAGCATGCGTTCTATCTCATAATGGATTTTTCATCTTTTCTCAAATATCTCTTTTTAACTTTCAACAATAATAACTTTTTCAAAATAACTTATTCAATTCCATGTGATCCATTGCTTATGTTTACCTTCACTTTAACTTGAATTTATAGGTAAATATTTCCCAGAATATTCCAAAAAATTTTCTCAGCCCAAGAAATTTCTATCAACAAGAAATTTTCCTGATCAATCTCAGAATATTCGTACTTAAAAACCTCGATGTCGTCTATATTATGAATGTTCGCTCTGTAAAGTCTTCTGCTGTATAGTGTACAGTCTGCCACTTTAAAGTGTGCTGCTGTACAGTCTACAGGTATATTGTGTACAGTCCACTGCTAGTTTCCTGCTGTAAAATCAACTGTTGTAAAGTGTATACATTATGCTGCTGTACAGTATACTGCTATATAGTGTACTCTCTGATGCTGTACAGTATGCTGCTGTATAGCGCACATTCTGCTGATGTACAGTTTTGAATTCAACGTCTTTAGTAATATTCATTAATTACAAATTTAACATTTGGAATTATTTACCCATTTCGATTTTTCTAACAAAATGCATAAAAATTATCGAATTTCTTACTTTAAATCGCAGTTCTAACTTGTTAATTTTCCGCCTTATCTCGTCTGGAAGGCTGTCAGGATGAACAGGTTGATAATTACGCTATAACGAGACGCACTTGCCTGGCCTGTGGCCCAGCAACTCATGCATCTGCTGTGACACGCATCGCTGAACACAACACGCGGTGCAAGCTCTTCGCTTGATATTGCAATTTTTATTGAACTGTCTTCTTATCCATCACTTCATTTTTTTCTATCACAATTGTTGATATTGCTTTTTTTAACCGGAATATCTTTGTTTGAAGAGGCGTGGGATATTTTCATGTGTTCGGAGAACACATGATATATTATTATTATTATTATTATTATATATATAATATATTAATATATATATAAGTATAATTTCGGAGAATGTTGTATAATTTGACTGTGACCCATGAACTGTGTCTTGATGCTCGATTGTTAAAGATTTAAGTAACGCTTTTTGATTAGATAGGCTATGCTGATAATTAGAAACGAAGATATAGAAATATCTCTAACAAGGATTTCGAAATCACGAAATACCTAAATGCTCGGACTAAATCCCGTAGACTTTTACAGTATACTGCGGTATAGTGTACTTTCTGCTGCTGTACAGTATACTGCTGTATAGCGCACATTCTGCTGCTATACAGTTTTGAATTCAACGTCTTTAGTAATATTCATTAATTACAAATTTAATTAACATTTGGAATTATTTACCCATTTCGAATTTTCTACGAAAATGCATAAAAATTATCTAATTTATGTCACTTTAAATCGCTGTTCTAGCTTGTTAATTTTCCGCCTTATCTCGCCTGGAAGGCTGTCAGGATGAACAGGTTGATAATTACGCTATATCGAGACGCACTTGTCAGGCCTGTTGCCCAGCAACTCATGCATGGGTACACTTTTATTGAATTGTCTTCTTATCCGTCACTTCATAGTTATCTATCACAAATATTGATATTGTTTTTTATAACCGGAATATCTTTTTGAATAGGCGTGGGATATTTTCACGTGTTCGGAGAATGTTGTATAATTTGACACTGACTCATGAACTGTGTCTTGATGCTCTATTTTTTATTTAAGTAACGCTTTTCGATCAGATAGGCTACGCTGATAATTAGAAACGAAGATATAGAAATATCTCTAACAANATTTCGACATCACGAAATACCTAAATGCTCGGACTAAATCCCGTAGACTTTTGGCATAATCAAATAGTCAACGGAGATTGCACGTCGTTTTTCAAATCAACGACGATGCTAACAAAGCTAACAAAGATTACAAATATTTACAAAATATCGGAATAACCTTGACAAATCTGCTCAAAGTCGTTTTGAAATCCGTTCTGAAATCCGTTAATTAAATTATGTGCGAAACATTGACTACTAACAATTAAATATTTATAGTTGCCTGAAATTTAGGAATATTATAACGGTTTATAGCTAGAAATAAGGTTCAGATTAAATGAAAAAAATGCAACTCCTCAAGCTCAATCGAGGTAGGTTTAACAATTTCACATAATTTCAAATACCATGAACTGTAATATGGCTTTGATAAAAGAGGATAATTATATATTGTACAGCGTTTCTCGCCAATATTTCTTAATACGCTGTACAATATATAAGACCAATATTTTTTAATAATGCGATAAAAATACCATACGTTTTCGAAGGTCCTACACCTCATACATCCTACACTTAAGGCATCCTACTCTTCATTGATACTACACTTCATGCATCCTACATTTCATATATTCAACTCTTCACATACACTTCATACACTTACAATTCATTCAACCTATACTTTACACCTTATTCACTACACGTATCACACTCTTCAATTATCCATCACTTCATAAATGCCGAATTAAATTAGTGACATGAAAATATTACTTTTTAACATCAATTATAAATATGCGTACATGTTCGCTGTAAATTTTGGTTAATAGAGGTGAAATGAATGTAGTTATATATATAACTTCCAACAAGCGCGCACTCTGGGCAACCGCAGCGACTTTGAAATTGAACGGTTTGTTGCTCGTCGCTCAGTCTGCCACTCGGCAGCGCCGTGCGAGGTTGGGTGTGTCGTTGCTGTCGGTGCGCCGAGCTGACATAAACCTGTCATATGGCAACCCGCATCGACAACGACCGCACTCGTACTTACGTAATTCATCTTCGTATGCGCTGTTGATGGGATAATTTACTTCATTGACTCACGCATCGCTCAATGTGTTGAACAAGTGGCTCATTTTCAATTGAGTTCTGATAATTGTGAACAGAAATGTATTGATGATATGCCCAATAAAATTGAAATATTTAATAATTGAAGTGTAGCTCTATAGCATCCATATTATCTCGGAACTTCGTACAGAGAGTAAAAAGCTAATTAATTTGTTATTTTTCATCTAATTTCATGACAATTTCAAATGTTTTTCGTTACAGGTTACAGACGAAAATCTTTTAATTTTACGTTTACATTTTTTTATTATAGTTAATGAAAGTGTGCGAGATTTGAGAACTTAAGATTTAAACAGTGATTTAAGAAATACATTTTTACGTCATCCATCCTTGAAATATGAAAGGAACATCAGCCTAGATTACAGACCTCATTTGACGCAGTTTGCCCTATTTCGGACCATCCGACCATTGATGATCAATGGTTAACCGCCCCGATTTGTTGCGGCCTTCAATAAAAATTATAAGTCTTTATTTAATCTCAGTGCTGCTGACACTCGTCGAATAATTACAGTTCAGTGGAAATTTATATTCGCATAAAAAAGTCAAACTTTCATGGACATTTTTCAAATTAATGAGATAAATAGAGACTTCGAAAATTTTGGGCTCAAAACAACGCATTGCGAATTGCAAATGCTTATTGAGTTCCATGCAGTTTTGAAATAATTTTATTTCAAAAATTTAAATGAAAGTAAATCCCATGAATAAATTTATTCTGGATATTTAATTCTGGAGGTAGCGAGGAATCTGCTGTCGGATCTCTACTAAATTCGCCATCAATGAGTTGTCACTAACTTTCCCCAATGATGAGTCACACCGATAACATGGGTGATGAATTATACTGTGTTGAGTCATGTTCATCAGGATCATTAGATTGTCCTAGATCTGAGCTAGATCTTGCGATCCTCGATCACGATAAAACGATCGCAAACTTGATCGAGTTAGAGTCGAAGAACACACCGCTCGTACCGCGTCACAAACTCGAGCCTGCGTGCAGGAAACTGGTCGTCACNGTACCGCGTCACAAACTCGAGCCTGCGTGCAGGAAGCTGGTCGTCACTTGGATGCTTGAGGTGAGACTTCAACGTTATTTCAACTTGCGTACTTTATTGAAATTTAAAGGAAAAATATTATTTACTGATGAATGAGCTAAATGCAGGATAAAATGTGCAAAAGTCGGAATATGTGCAATTAATTTATTGTTAATGATTGAGTTAAGCCAATTAGCATGCTGATTTTATCTCTATGTAGTGCTTCGAGAATTTAAATATTTACAATTAAATTATAAGATAAATTCCAAATTCTTTGCAATTCGTTTCTTACTGGAAAATTTAAAAGTTTATTTATACGATCGATTGAGTTTATTTAGAATTATTCGAACGTTTGTGACAGTTTGCGCTGCTACAAATTTGTGGCTACAGACCACAACAAAGTTTATTAATGAAGTTCGGATGATGAGTGTGGATGTTGAGTGAAGCTTTGATGGTGAGTGTGGATGGTGAGCGAAACTCAGATAATGATTGTTAGTGATGAGTGTGGATGATGAGTGTGAATGATGAGTGTGAATGATAAGTGGAGCTTTAATGGTGAGTGTGGATGATGAGCGAAACTCGGACGATGATTGTTAGTGATGAGTGTGAATGATAAGGGGAGCTTTAATGGTGAGTGTGGATGATGAGTGTTTACAGTGGTAGCGCTCAAGTATTCGGTGAAGTTGTCACTCAATCTGAAGTGGGCTCTGGCTTCCAAGAATTGGTCCTCCAGTGGGTGACAGCTTTTGTGCTGCAGTATACGCGTAGTTATTACTATGTAAAATAAACAATAGTCACCTACTGAACAACTGCTATACTAAGTATCCACCTAATTAAAGTGATTGGCGGGACAGAGTTATATATGACGTGGCGTTTCCTTATCGCTCTCGTAATTGAATTACCTTCGTGGAAATGTTCATTTCATACTAACACGTTGTTCGTGTGTTGTTTTTGTACTACCTGCCTAAACTCGATCGTTGATTCGAATCATATTCTGCGACTATGTTATACAATTTTTAGAGGATAACTCTTTGAACTGTGTATTTAAAATCTATTGATATTTACCTATATTCAATTACTTAATAATATGTTATAATACTGGAGATTCTGATTCAGGTTGACTAAATATCCAATATTATTGAAGTATTTCGATAAGTTTGATCACACACTTCTTCACATCTTGAAAATTCCTCTAATAATACGTACCATATTTGAGCAGAAAGAACATACTTTTGGAACACTAAGTAATAATCAAGCCACACTCTTGCAATTCATTGCACTTGAGGACAAGGTCGTGAACGGCTGAAGCCTTCGCTTATTGCGCAACGGATTGCAGTTTTTAATAAAATTGATTTTCAAAGTAAAAAATACATCGATTGAAAGTCACTATAACAATATAACAATAGCAAGTAGATGTTTATAAAGAAATTTGTTTTCAGTTTAAAAAGAATCTTCGCGAGCAGTCATATATACTGTATATTTGATGAAAATTTGTTCGTATGTTATATAGGAGCCTATAGCGTCATTATTATTAATTGGTTAGTTGGGGCGCGTATCCAGGATACCTATCGTGCTGTAGTATCTGAGATTATATTTCTACTAATAAATCATTAGTTTGCTGCTGGGTTCTATGAGAGGATAAAATTTTTATGTTTACTTGGCAGATTAAATTTCCAAAAAAATGAAAATAAAATGAAATGTCCTATTCAGTACCGGAGTTCTGCTAAGAACTGCATGGTGTGTTCCCAATTTATTCCAGAATGCAATTTTTCCATATAACTTATTATACATAAATAAATGATATTTGTAATAATATACAATAATATACCTTAAATCCCCCCCCCCTCTGAAGGTGTGTGAGGAGCAACACTGCGAGGACCAAGTCTTCGTGGTGGCCGTCTCACTTTTGGACAAATTTCTGAGTGTAGTGTCCATCCGCAAGACGCAGCTGCAGCTTCTGGCCGCCGTGTGCCTGTTGCTGTCCTCCAAGCTGCGGCAGAGCCACTTCCTGTCCGTCGACCTCCTCGCGTATTATACGGACAACTCCATCACACGGGACGAAATTACGGTGAGTCCCGGCGCACTATACGGACATAAGGCGCGATGAAGAAATTCTAGAATGCGTATAATTGAGCAACTGTTAATTTACGCCAGGAGATGTAACAAATAAATATTTTCCTACGCATGAAATGTGAAAGCCATGACCGGTACAGTAGAGTTTATGCGGCGCAGATCGAGGAGGTTGAGACGACTCATAATTAATTGCAGAGTCGGGGTAGTAATATCCACTTTATCCAGCCCATACATAACGAGCGTGATGGTGCAGTATTTCTCTTCAATCACCATCGCTTGACCGTCACATTCACTCTAAAACTTGCCATGTCACTTCGGTCTCTCCGTAACAACTCGTGAAAGTCAACCGCTTACTTGCATGCGGGCATTTAGACTCGCTTGTTACAAGTTCCAAAAGAGAACAGTTCGTTGCAGCTTGAAATTTGACCGCCCCAAAACCGACGGGTAAAATCATGGTTGAATTATTAATTCAACCATGGGTAAAATAGCATCACGTCGTTAAACTTGCAACTCATCCGACAAACTTTGAACTATTCTCTAGTTTCCTGTCTCTGTACGAGTCGTTACATGGTATATCAAATTTATCGTATGAATGAAATGATGTGGTTATATCAATAAGAATTTCGAAACAAATTTTAATGTCGCAAAATACGAGCATAATATTTTTGCTCACAATAATACTTGTGCGAATGTGTTGAAATCTTCTATACTAGTGAAAACTGTGTCCTATTATCCGCGCCGACTTCTGAATTAATGACGTCGGACTATAAATGTTCCGCGATGAATTTGATTGGGACATCGCGTCGCCCTCGTCCCAGCTGTCCAGCTTTCAATTGCAGGCGGTAAATTTGGCTTCCGTCGTCGTCCATAGCATGAATTGACTTCATTTTACGACCAGGCGTTAGAACTGCAATAAAATTAGTCACACTTTGACCACACATCTCTTTTCTCGCTGCCAACAGCAAGGACAGCTTCCATGATCGAAAAACAGGGTCTTTGAATAGCTGCGGTCAAATTTCAGGTTGTTGACGTTCCAAACAATAATTTTATTGATTATGGAGTCATTTTATGCTCCTGATAATGACCAAGAGAAGCTACAAACCAAAATCCGACTTTACTGCCAACAACTGAAAAAAATACTTATTTTTCTTATTTTACGGGACAAACCAACAACCACGTTCCTGTAGCATGACAATAACTCAATTTAGAAACGGAAAACTCTGGATTGTGGCAAACGTGGGCACGCATTTGAAGGCTGCCACTTCCCCTGCATTAGAGGAGGCCTATGCCCCTAGGGGAGGCCTATGCCAAGCCTCCCCAATTCGAGCGTCCGAACAAGATGACCATGTCGACCGCAGTTTCCTCTTTCCCTCAGCGGCCTGACCACGAATATTTCAGAACCTCAGCCTGTTCATTTCTCTTGCATTTCAAACTGGGCGCACCCATTCACTTGACCAGTTCACTCCCCTTCTCTGAACCAGGCTACAATATTGAACTGCTTCAAACCATGGCACGAACGCGCAAAATGTCGAGCTTGAACTAAATTAGAATTTTAAATTTTATTGGGAGCGAATGTTGGCTCCCAATCCAGATAACAACCACCGAAATTATGTAGTTAGTCTGGTACTACATATCCTAATGTTTCTTACAAACTGAAAACATCCAACCGACCGCTGCTGCGTAATTATTTCCTATAGCATCTCCCCTCTTGACTTGCATTTCAACGGTAAAGGTTCTGCAGATCCTGTTCTTCTCCCCTCAACTTTTCCCTCAACTTCGGTGTCACATTTCAACGCACAGATCAAGCAGTAGACCAGCCCGGTTGACCACAGTCTAGAGGCCCGGCTTTCTTCATTTCGTTGATTTAGAATTAACGTACATTCCCTAACATACAATGGACCTTCAGAGATCAGAAAAATTAAAAATATGCGTACTTTGGCCATTTTTCAACTATATTTCGTTGAATGAAAATCGGAGTTATAAATTTCCATTAATTTCTTCTCGTTAAATTTTTCATTAGTTCGAATTTTTTTTAAATATGAGCTTGTATTTTGTTAATAATTTGAGCCCAAGTTAACGAGCGGGACAAACAAGTGAGATAGGTTGATATTGGCCAATAAGAACTTTACTATCCAGGCCAATGATGTGGGAGCCTCAAATTTAAACATTAGAAATAACATTCTTTGAAAGAACTTGCAGTTGCGTAAAAACTTAATGCTTTAAGAATTTAATTCAATGATTCAACACAATATTTATTTAATTTTTGTTTACTCTGTGGTTCAAATTGAACTCCTGGCTGAGAATAGGGCTAATCGTTCTACCCCGGCATGGAACTGCTTGATTTCAACACTCAGTCTGTCCTGGAACTCGTCTCTGCCGCCTCACTTTCTTTTGAATTTGTCAACCGCGAAAGCCTATAGAAAGGAAAGCCCAATGTTTGCTAACACAAACCATGAAGACTCAGTTGAAAAAAAGACTCCTGCATGGTCTCAGGATGACGAAGTCCACAAAAAAGACCTCCGGTCTTGGTATGACAAAGTCCTTAAAAAAGACCCCTGGTCTTCTTATGACAAATCATTAATCGTGAGGCCTGCGTCATCCACTCTATTCTGACGCTTCAAAAGCCCGTAATGATCGCCAGGATTGTGGTTTGCTTTGGTTTTTATTTCGGCACTTCATTCGTCTTACTTTGTGGGCGAGTGGTGGTGCCCCGACTGCTCGACAAATCATCTCAGTACATACAATCAAAATGGACTTAAAAATGTTCTGTCCTTGCAAAGGGATTATACTGTTCTTCAGTTTATGCTGGGAAACGTTGCATGCTCACCGAAATGATAATTTACGCCTTGCACTGTTTAACAGTAATAAAATATTTCTCACTACTTATACAGTGGAAATAAACTCCTTTTTTCATGAGCTCCTGGTATTATGCCTTTTAATTTTCATACTCTATTAACAAAAATAATTCTTGGTTGTTTTAATTCTATCGGTACCTTTTAGTGTACCGATAGTGTACCAATTGCCATTTAATTCGTTTATGATTCTTGTTATCTTAATTAATATATTGCCTAGTCTATTGAATTAACCATAAATCATAAATCCCAGTGATTACTTACGAATAAAATATATATTGTAAAAACAAGTTGGGGACAAATAAATAATAATAATCCTATCCAAATAATAATAATAATAATAATAATACATCCTATGGGGCAAAATAAATCTTAAGGTGTGTGTAATAAAATATTATACGCACCGATTTTAAAGTGAAAATAAGTTTATTTTCTCATTTGAGCTTCTGATGTTAGACGTGTTGAATTTAACACTCTACTTCAAAGAAATGATTCGTTATTGTTTGAATTCCATGTGCACATTTCATTGAACATAGCGCACTATAATTTGCAATGTACATACATACTGAAGAAGCGCGTATGTTCAAAATTTAAAGATAAAATGATATTAGGTAAAACCGTTGTCTAACAATGGATTCCCATTATGTGAAAATACATAATTTTAACGATCATATTCCTGTCTTGATTGATTTAATCTGCCCGTAATGAAANGCGCGGCGCGTTGTACGCAACTAAATTTAGCGTTAAACGGTTGTCTAAACGTACTTTTAAAATTGAGACATAATGTTAAAAGGCGAGGATAATTTTATGTATAGCTTGTATCTGATCAACGAAATAATGAACCTCGGTGAAGGCTGATGGAGGCCTGAGTACATCGTTTGATCGTTAAGTGAAGTTAGTAGCGTAATGACGGGAGAACTTTGTGTTTATTTCGTAATGCTTCCGTCTCTGTTTAATTTTTCAACATCGTTTCTTGTTCCCTTTTGATTTGTGTTATACATGTATCTTTTACGTACATTGCTGTAATATTATATCCTTCTTCCCACTCTTTATCTTGCTGAATATTTGGCATCCATTACTCAAAGAACAAGCTGCAACTCCTGATCATTTTTTCTTTAAACTTTTGTTCCTTCTCTTCACTTCACAATGCTCTCATTTCTTTTACAAGGCTCCTCACATCCCCCCTAAACCTCTTCACCTTTCTTTCTTTCCCCCACCGCTTCTCTTGTCCCTCTCAGCGGGAAACTCTCCTCCCCCCTCGCGGGTTTCCTTCTCACGTCCCCTTCTTCTTTGTGAGCCTCAACGAAATTTTCAACATTTCTTCCAGTCTCCTGCAATTGAGGTTTGTCTCTCATTATCCTTATAGGAATGTTTTTCTTGCATCTCATTCAGAAAAATTTCGTTTAGTTTTCACTGAAAATTGTTTCTGATTCACCCACATGCGAATTAGATTTGGCGATGAACTGCTATGGAAAACTTCATTACTATTTTTTCACGTTTTTAATGGTAATATGCCAAAGTCTAAATATTTTCTCGGCGAATGAGTTAGGTCAGTAAACTTTGTTGTATCATATATTTTTCTTGAGCCGTATTATCTACAAGTACTATATGCATACATCGTATTTTATTTACTAACCATAAACACGCTTCATGACTTTCATTCAATCAACTACGCAATTTTCTGACGTTTTTCTGGACTTGGCGGCGTTTGCTGCAGAGAGTTTGACAGCCGTTGTCGGACCGTTCGCTCCACATCGCAATGGCATTGTCGTGTGCGGGTGCAGGGCCGTTGGAGAATGTGTCTCGAGTTACTCCATTGAAGCGGCAATGACAAACGACGTCCAAAAAGATGTTAACGTAAATCAAATTACGAGTGAGATTGGAAACGCAGAGGTGGTGAAATATATCAAAATAGATTTATTGGTTGGCGCCACGTTCACTGAACTACAAAAGACATTAATGCGACAATACCAATTTACGTCTAGCGATGCATTAATTGAAGATATTTGCACATTTCTTTCTTGAATTGCGATAGCAGTTATTTCCAAAAAGTTTTTCAAACAAATTTTATAGATCACTTATTTTTCAAAGTACCATCTCCCAGCATTTCGGCTTACCATGCACAACAGCCATTTCTTACCGTTCGATTATTAAAAGAACCTGCGTGAAAATACCACCTCCTCTGGATGCAATTTAGGATGTTTATTCTAGGCGTACCTTTGTTGTTTGTACCGTGTTCACGGTTAAATTTTTCGTGTACGGTTATCGTCGACTACCTGGTCGTCACGAGCGATGTTGTCCAGCGACAGCGGACAACCGTCCTTAGGGAAGTACTCGGCTGACCGTGAAATCCAGGATGACTTTCAGAAATTTTTTCACGACTAAAATTAATTCCAGTGGATGATGAAGATGACTTTCCAATTTCATCCACGAGTGAATCTTGAGATAATACGGTAATGAGTAAATATATACGTATATAAAAAATTCAAGCTTGTGGTAATGGGCTAAATGAGCTCCATTGAACGTGATCAGCGGTCATTATTTATTAACATAATTTATTTAATCTTGTTCATTAATTTGCATAATCAAGGAAGAAATAATTTAGGAAAAAATCCATAAATTTCCAGTTCAGTCGATGTGTTTATCAAAGTATTTGCATCCAAAAAATTAGTTTAATATAATTTTAAATCATTTCTCGTGATAATTCATTTCAATTTACATGTTCATTGGAAATAAACGTGCTTTTAATTGAAATCCTTTAAAATCTCTTAACTACCTCATATTTACCAAACCATTCCCTCATGCTGCATGGGTGAACCATGCTCCTGGCGTGAACCAAAACGCAGGTTTTAAAAACATTCCCAACTTCATATCAACATGCTTGGAAAACCCACAAGCCCCTTTTTTCACCACCCAACTTTTTCGCTTTAATTTTCTGCTGAAAATTATTCACTATTTCCCACAATATTCTTAGATCCAAAAATTAATCCATATACTTCAATTACAATCAGTTCTTTATGAGGAAAAGGTTGCATCAAAACTATAATGTTCGCTCTTTTTTCCCACTCGCAAGAAAAAAATCTCTTCACCGATGTTCCCGTACGTCAGCAAGTTCCGCCAATGCCATCAGTCACACGTCGCTCTGACGCCACCCGATCAGTAAGGCGTTTTCGAAAGCCATCGGTCTCGTTTTGCCGTCTCATTTCACTCCGTCATTACAAAGTTCGAACCAACAGTTTTCTCACGCACTGTCGAGCAGCAAATTGTCAAAATAAAGACAGCTTCGAGGGACGTTGGAAAAAGAGGGCGGCTTTGCCTGAACTCCCGACAGGTGGCTTCAGGTTCGGGCCCGCCTACACCCAAAATAGGATCGAAATTTTTTTAAAAGCCACTGGGCCATGTGAGAAGACAAGAGTTGTTTTAAATGTCCCAATGGGCATCTAAGATTTCTGTTTCTGTTGTTTCCCATGAATCTAAATTCAGCGACGACCTCGTTATTGGATGTCCTCCTTTGTCGCACTCACTGGCATCGGTTTGCTGATTTCCTTCTGCGCCAAAATATTTAATCTGAACTCGTCACAAATTTTCAAATGTGAACATAAAGTTTGGGTCCGTGGTGCATCCTGTTCACTGACTATGTTCATATCCGTTCAAAATAGCTATTTTCCAAATAATTATATCTCTATGTTCCTAAGTTTACTGAAAAATAAACCACAAACTTGAGTTTTTCTGACCTGTGGAATCCACAAACGATAGAAATCAGAGACGAAGTCTCCCAAACGCTCCCGAAATTTGAGTTTTCCTGGCGCCCAGCAGAGCAAAACTGCAAACTCGACACTCGGTTCGGGATGAACGGAATCAAATTCCGCAACGTAATCGAATTTTAGGCATGGGTATATTATAGAGGAGCGTACAAACGCAGATCTCGGGGGACAATTCTGCGCATAAAGTGAATATTTTCTGAAAACGTTTCGATTTTGCTACCGAAATTTGACTAACATGATATTATTTAAACATTTTTTGTGCAATATTGCTGTGAACCCAGGCAAAATTAGAGAACAAAAATGAATCAATTTATCTGCTACTGAAAATTAGTATGGATCTGCACCAACGACCATCTATTTAATTGAACGTACATATCTACCGCTAATTGGATGCTCAATTCAAAACTCTTGCTTCTTCACCTAAGTTACCAAAGTTATTACCTACATTATGAAAAATTTCTGGACGTACATTACTTTAGGTCAATCTTTTCTGGCCGGTAGATTGATTTTTTAAAAGGGGAGCATGTGAATGTATTTGGAGGTGAAAACCCAATCAAATATTCTGGCCGGTGCAGTGAACAGAAACTGAACCTGCCCATATGTACCCATTAGAGCCTTGTAGTTGAAGATAATGAAGTTGGTGAGCCCATACATCGTAACCTGATCTCACTTTAGTCCGTTAGAACCTGTTGTTAGGAGTAACTCGAGTGTTGGTGCTTAGCTTTAGGCGCTGCTGGNTGTACCCATTAGAGCCTTGTAGTTGAAGATAATGAAGTTGGTGAGCCCATACATCGTAACCTGATCTCACTTTAGTCCGTTAGAACCTGTTGTTAGCAGTAACTCGAGTGTTGGTGCTTAGCTTTAGGCGCTGCAGGTTATTTCAGCAGCCGTGGCAATGGATTTCAAGCACTGCAGGTTAGTTGAGGATCCCTGGCAATGGAGTTCATACACTGCAGGTTAGTTGAGGATCCTTGGCAATGGAGTTCAAGCACTGCAGGTTAGTTGAGGATCCTTGGCAATGGAGTTCAAGCGCTGCAGGTTAGTTTAGCAGCTTAAGAAATGTAGGTTTAAGCACTGCAGGTTACTCGAGGACTCTGGTATTGAGGTTCATTTACTGCAGGTTAGTTGAGCAGCCTTGACGAAGGGGTTCGAACCCTGCAAGTTAGTTTTGAGCTCGACGAAATAAGGTTCACATTGAACTGGCCCCTCGCAGCATCTAGGCAAAAAGAACAATATTTTCAGTCATGTACATGGAAATATAATCCTGCTTGCGTAATGAATTAGGTGGAGAGAACAATAAATTTGATTTCGATACACGAGGCAAACGAAGCATGAACGCAACATCGTCTTTGACCCTTACCATGACTCGTCATCAATACACGTCAACACGACAGACCGAGGATACCTTGGCACGGTACATTTGTCGTGACAAGTGTGTCGTGTCATGTCGGTAACACGAGCGTTATGACCTGAACGTGACATGTCATTACCTCTGTAACGTGCTGTAATTATCAAGAGGTAATTACTTGTACAGCGCCGTGTTCAGAATTGGTTCCGAAGAAATTATACTCATAACTATATTCTGTGTCCATTAAATTTCGAAAATCATTCATACCTTGAAAAATACTCGATCATTACTCACTCAACTATCTAGAAAATATAAAGTCTTCGTAGCCTATTTTGATGAACATTCAGCTCAAAAAGATGTATTACTTGCAATCGCGAGAGATTACCTTAATTCTCTGCTGATTTCCCCTCTCCTCCCTCTACAATGGAGGGTACCCTCAGTTCCTCCCCTCACTTCCTCCTTCCTCCTCCCCCAGGATTGGGAGCTACCCTCACTTCCCCTCTCCTCCCCCAGCAATGGGAGGTACCCTCACTCCCTCCCCTCTCCTCCCCTAACAATGGAAGGTACCCTCACCTCCCCTCTCCTCCCCCAGCAATGGGAGGTGCTCGTGGTGGCTAAGCTGGGCTGGGACCTGGGCCACGTCACGGCGCTGGACTTCGTTGACAGTTTGCTGCGTCGCCTCGCTGTCACCGGCGACAACATCGTCCGGCGACACGCGCTCACCTTCGTCGCCCTCGCCGCTACAGGTGAACATTGTATTCATTAATGAAAAAAATGTCAACATAACTAATTATCGTTTTGTAACTAATTACCTCTTGCCACTAATTCGTTCTGGTAACTACCCACAAAAATTTATGATTAAGGGAGCTTCGTCGCCCTCGCCGCTAAAGGTAAACATTAATTAATTTTTATTAATGAAAAAATATTAATATCACTAATTATGGCTAGTAACTAATTATCGCTGGTATTTAATTAACTCTTGTCACTAATTTATTCTGGTATTATCCGAAAACATTTATGATTAAGGGAGCTTCATTGCCCAGATCGCTAAGGTAAACATTATAGTATAGTTATCACTAATCATCTTTTTTAAAGTAATTAAATCTGGTAACTGATTAGATCTCAACTATTGACTTCTGGCAAATTATTTACCCTGGTAAGTAATTAATTTGGGTAATTATTCACTAACATTGATGATTATCGCACCGCAGCTTCATCGCTCTAGCAGCTACAGGTTAATTGTCGTCTTTAATGACAACTTTGTAGCATTATAGTGACAACTAATTACTTCTGGTAACTAATAACCACTGGTGACTAATTACCTCTGGTAACTAATCACCTCTGGTAACTGTCCAAGTATCACTTTCGATTACCACTCGTTTTGATTACGTAAATGCATTCAAAGCAGCAAAAGAATTGACGCAGAATTTGCAGTTTATAGTTACTTCTTCTGTGGCAACAGCCGCTACATTCATCGTTGCTAATATCTATATTGACTTTACTTGTTATATTTTTATTGTTGATTCTTACTTGTTTTAATCTTTATTTATTTCAGCTATATCTTGTTATTATTCCTGATTCTTACTTCCACTTTTTTTGTTAATTTTCGTTATATTTTCCTAGCTTTTTCTTGTTTCGCTGTCCATGGTCATGCTTCGATATCATTTTCCTCGTATTTGCATCTATCTTCTTCATATTTTCTTGGAATTACTTCCTCCTGTGTAAACTATTGAATGTGTGATATTTTACCTGCATTTTTCCTATCTGTTCACCATACATATGATTTTACTCATTATTCTCGACATGTTCTTCGTTATCTAATCACCGCTGGGCCTCCATAATTGATGCTATCCCGCGTCGCCGGATAACTGCACAAGCTCAAGTGCTGCTAAATTATATTTTGAAGATTTCTACTCATAGATAAGCTTGTTGTTAATAATAATATTCCTGTTTATATGTCGTTTATGCACACGTCAAGGATGCTGTTGCTCGCCTATGTACTACAAAAACGTCTTGGTCGATTAACATTTTAATTAGATTAATACGAAAAAACGTTGGTCTCCAAGGTTGAGTTACAATTTTTTTTTTGCTTTAAAAAAAGTTAGGGTTTGAAGTTCACTGTGAGGTATTCGTTTCAGGGCACACTTTTTTTTGTTCAATTAAGGACGATTTTTTACAGCTTCCCCAAATGACGGCTTATAAAACAAGTAAAACTCAGCCAGCCGCCCGCCGCTTGCAAAACTGCCTACCTTTATGAGATCCAGCTTCCCCCATTGCCCCCCCCCCTCAGTCTCGTGCCCCCCCCCACTGCCCCCCCTGTCTCATGCCCCCCCCTCCAGGGTGATGCTGTCTGGACAGGTTGGAGGGGCGGGGGAGGGGAGCCCCAGCGAGGGGCCCCAAAAGGGGACTCAGGCTCAAAAATTGAGAGTAAACGTGAGAAAACTTTGAAAATAGCTTTGAAATTTCAAAGCTTCACTGATTTCAAAATTTTAATTTGGCGAAGTTTTTATTCCTGATTTGCTGCTATTATCTAAGTATTGGTCAAATGGTGTCTTCCATTAGATTAGTTATCTCATTAGATTTCCCGAAACTGAATGCAATTTTGATGATATTATTTTTAAATGAACAAACATTTATAAGTGAATAAAATCAGCTGCGGTTTATCTGCGAATTTTTTTTATAGAATATGATTATGACTGAACTTATGTGTCCCATTCATGGTTAATTAATTGCCCAATGCTTAATAACAATATAATACTGCGCATCGAAAAGTTAACCGAAGACCACAGAATCATGACTGTTTTATGAAAGTTTTGACCTAAATTTTATGATGCTTGATGTTGAATACCGTACATGTTAATAAATATTGCAAATTTCACAGAAAATGTATGTTGATATCTGATTGGAAAATTTGTTTCTAAAATGAACCGCAAATTTTAAAGAATTTCGAACAAGTCTCTGCCGAATTTCTTGTTGGCATTTGATTGGAAAATTAATCACTAAAATGGACTATAGGGGCCTAAAAGGGGACTGAGGCTCAAAAATCGAGAGTAAATAAGAGAGAATTTCGATAATAATTATACAAATTTTATTTGAAATAAACCCATAATTTTTGCGGGTTAACGATCCTGACAATCGCTTGACTGTGAATATATTTAATTTCAAAGCTTCACTGATTTCGAAATTTTAATACGGCGAAGTTTTTGTACCTGATTTGCTGCTATTATTATTAATAATTGGTCAAATGGTGTCCTGCTTCAAAATATTTATCTTTTAATTCACTTCGCACCATTTAATTATGAGGAATTGAAGTAAATTTCGTACTGTTTAATCAAGCAATTAAACGTCGTTTTTTAAATTTCCTAAATCAAGATGCAGTTTTGATGATATTATTTTCTAAATGAGCAAACATTTCAGTGAATAAAATAGCGGCAGTTTATCTGCGATTATTTTTACAGAAGAAAACAATTAAAACTAAGGCATGACTCCGAATAAGCGGCACCCACTTGATTATAATTCTGAACTATGCACCTAATACTTGATAAATGCCTAATTCTTAATAATATTTATCAATTATTTATTAATAATATTTATCGCATCGAAAAGTTAACCGAAGAACGCAGAATAATGACTGTTTTATGAAGGTTTTTACCTAAATTTTATGATACTTGATATTGAATGAAGTTACATGTTAATAAATATTGCAAATTTCACGGAAAAATATGTTGACATCTGATTGGAAAATTTGTTTCTAAAATGAACCGCAAATTTTTAAGAATTTCGAATAAGTCTCTGCCGAATTTCTTGTTGGCATTTGATTGGAAAATTTGTTACTAAAATGGACCGCAAATTTTAAAGAATTTCGAACAAGTCTCTTTCGAATTTCTTGTTGACATTTAATTGGACAATTTATCACTAAAATGGACCGCAAATTTTAAAGAATTCTGCCAAATTTCTCCTCCGAGTACAGCCTCGCAGGATTAATCATCAAAAAAGAAATCATCAAAAAAATGTGATGATTTCTTAACAAGCGTTGACTCCCGACTCGCTGGTCCCTGGGCTGGGCCAGAGCTGTCGTTCAAAGAAGCTCTTGAGTTTACCACGAGCGAAGGTTATCGCGGGATTATCGCTGCGATAACGACCACACGGCCTCTACTGAGCCTCCTTTCATGGCCTCTTGGTAGCCTTTATTTTAATGGCCTCACACTTCCTCTTAAGTCTGGCCTCATACATTTAAGCCTGGCCGCGAGTATCGCTTTAAAAGTGCACCACTTGCAATGCTTCGACACCTCGTACCAGCGACGCTTAATCTCGTAGACACCTCAAAACTTTACTTTTCAACGTCGGCCGTTTTCACTAACTTATATAGCTTTAATTAATTATAAATAACTTAACTATGAATAATTTAACCATGAATAACTTTACCGTAACCATAAATTATTTATCTGTGCATAACTTAACCATGAATAACTTAACTATGAATGACTTAAATATAAATAGCTTAGCTATGAATAACTTAACTATAAATAACCTAACTATTAATAACTTAACTATAAATAACTTAGGTATGAATAACTTAACAATAAAAAAACTTAAACCTAAATAATAAATAACCGAACACTTCTCAAAGATTATGTTTTTTCATTGTAACGTTAATTTTTTTGTCTTAGGATGCGTGCAGCAGCTACTAAAAACAAATGAAATTCCAGCATAAATCCTGCGAAATTTGAAGCTTCCAACGCACCTGCGTGTGTTGGAATTGTAAATTCATTTCATGTTTATTAAGATAAGATATCCTCTGCTGCCGGCTTAGTGAAATAAGAGCGGCACATATAATATTATAGATTATTGACAGCCTTTTTACTTTATTTATTATATATATTATAGAAATGTGATATAAATGTGAAATAAGAGCCGCACATATAATATTATCGATCATTGCCAGCCTTTTTACTTTATTTATTATATATATTGTAGAAATGTGATCAACTTAATAAGTTTGATGCCCATTTTTCGCCATCTCATAAACCGTTGGAAAAAACAGATCCTCTTTTAACTCATATTCAGGAAATAATAACATTACCTACCATTCATTTCACGGCGCTATTTTCCAGGCCAAAATTCTGCAAATTTGCATAATACTTAAGCTCGATGTCGCTTATGCAAATCGTAAACAAACTTTGATGCAATCCGGAAAAGTTCGATAAATTGCAGCAGCCGACGTCTCTGCGGGAACTTTTATTAGTTATCAATGCCGTGGGAATTTGTCCTGTGCGGGACATATCGTCCGTTTGTCCTGCGCGGGACATATCGTCCGTTTGTCCTGCGCGGGACATATCGTCCGTTTGTCCTGCGCGGGACATATCGTCCGTTTGTTCTGCGCGGGACATTTCGTCCACTAGCTTTTGTTCGGCGACGTCTCGTGAAACATGCGCGTTGCGCTGGTAAGAGAAAAAGGAGGGAGATGGAGAAACAGAAAAAAAAATCCAGTCAAAATCTGTCGTGATTTGGGGGCATTAATATAGCATCAGGATTTCATACAATGAGAGATTTTTCCTAGGAGTTTTTCAGTTTTTTCATTTAGTTGCTGCAATGCCACCACAATTTTATCTTCCTAAAAAATTTGTCTAGAAACTATCACGTAAGATTATTTTCGGAATTTACAAACGGGATTCAATTATTTTTCAATATTAGTCTTGATTAGATCCTGAAATGGTTCATCACGGTCTTCGAAAGGCACAAGCTC